TTGCATACGTCTTCTAAATTAGAATCTATAGAAATCCGGCCATGAGAACAATTTTTATACTTTTTAAACGATATTTTTACGTTTTTATTCGCGCAATTGTAGCCAAAATTCCGGTATGCGACGTACACATGCTTCTAATTGAAAATCCAATATTTTTATTTCTAAGCAATGCAAAAAAATCATTTGCAAGTATGTTGTAGACAAAAGTTTGCTCTATCACGCTACGCATTTGCTAAGGTATAAAAAGCAGTTATGTGAAGGCGTGGGGCGAATTCCATTACGACTACCTGCGTGCCATGACAGGTGGACTTGCCAAGATTTTGTAGGGCTGCGTGGAAGCCAAAAGAGGCAGTTTTGCAATTCAAGAACTAGGCTGTATCTGCAATGGTTCGAATTATGTGTGCGCCAAATTTCTCGTTTTTAGGTACTTCCCTTCTCGTTTTGTACGAAACAGTACTAGGCTCCCAGACTTTTGCCGCACCCTGTACTTCCAAAATTTTATTGTTTTATTCTTCGCGGTTCAAATCAGCTAGCCTCCGCCCGTAGGCTGGTTGACCTTCATAGAAGTGGGACTTCAATTTTGGAAGACATCAAGATTTACAGTCAAGTATTGTCTTACTATTTACCTTCACAGTAGCGACACTTTGTAACTTATCAAACAACTACAAAAGTTAATCCGGATGTGTAAGACCCAAAGGTACCTTTTCTACCCGAGGGTTCTGTACTTGGTGCAGCTTTCACATGCCAACGATTGGTAGTCAGCTTTTCATATGTGGTTCATCTACCATGCCACGTTGATGTATTGGTGTTTGTTACCAAATGCTTCTATGATGACTCAGAGAGCACTTTTAGGTGCATTGAAACAAATAAATAAATAATTGAATGAGTCATGCCCAAACTGTGTCACTAACGAAGTCTTTGATTTCTATCAAGTATTATATATTATGACGTTCTATAATTTTCCACATTTTTTACTACAAACGTCGTCTTTTTGTATCTTTCCCTCAATTGATGTTTTTAAGTATTCATTCGACAGGACAAAATAAGCTCTACAAGATGGCTATCAAGAGTCTGCACAAATGATTTTCCACGTGAAGTTTTGAGCTGGAACCTGATAGCAGTCAGCAGAAACGAGCTTTACCGTCAAAAATCTCATCTCCGCTCCAAAAAATCTTAAAACTTCCCCATCTATCCCAGCAGATGCTTGATACAGCGAACGTTAAATAGTACACTTTCCCTATTTTTTCCATGGCTAGAGAAAAAGAAAATAAATGCATTAAAGTGGCAAACTCCGCCCCGAGACTTTCTGAGTTTCTCCCACGGATGTGATCATATAGCTCATACATACAGGACGATCATGTATTTGTACCCTTTGTAGGTGCTCCAGTTCTCGAAAAATGCTGACGTTTAGGGGAAAACGATAAAAAATTATGGGACACCCTAATACATCTTTCCAAGATTCGATTACCATTTTCTTTCTCCCAAAGAGAAAATGCCATAACCTTTCTTCGTAGCGAAAAATCTCTACCCATTTGTTTCCCGATTACGCACAAGCTTACGATCTCAAACAACAGCACAAACGATAGGCACCATATGCCTATTGCAGTGGCGTACCCAGGATTTCCGTTCGGGGGGGGGGGGGGGGGACAAAAAATCTTTTCTGATAAAGGTGCGAAAAATTGTTTGGTATGCTTCCTGAAATTTTTGCGGGTCCACAACCCCGAAATGTGCAAGCGGGGTGTGGCGGCAACCACGCCCCGCTTGCACATTTCCAAAAATTTCGCGGCCCATTCTCGGGGGGGGGGGGGGGGGGGAGGGGGCTCGGCATGCCACTGGCCTACTGTTCCGCTTGATTCACAATCATAATGTATACCAAAATCATCCCCTAATCGAGCTAATATCCCGCTGACATATCTGCTCTGCGATAAGTTATGAGCAGACCTGCGAATCTCGCAAATCTCCCGAATTTCGCGGATCATGCAAATTCCGTGGAATTTGCGATCACTGTGGACATGCTATGATGAAATACGATACTTTTTGCATAAATAAAAGCCGCATTTCCATTTTTTTGACCCAGTCTTCTACCATTCAACGGAAACCATTAAAAAAATTGTTTGAAATGAGAAGAAATCCGTAATTCAGTTTCACGTTCCCATGCGATATAATGCAAATTTACGTCTTTCATTGTTTTGAACTTTCATTTTTCACATCAGAGCAAGTGATGGGAAAAGAAAAAAAACTGTTTTCTTTTTTGAGTATAAAGTTTCGCTCTCTGCATGAACAAAGCGATAGCAACTGCTTGAGTAGTGTTCCTGCAATATTATTTTAAAATGCGAGGAAACCTCCAGTGACGAAAAAATTATATAATATGATTTCTATGTCACTACCTTCTACAGATCTGGGACTTGCTAAAAAAGAGTTTTAAAAAGCTGAACCAGGGTTCCAAAGACCTATCAAAATGGTATGAAGGTTCTCTAGTTTTCGTGGTAATCTTATTGCAGAAGTCAGCATCACTGTGGTTGAAATCTGATAAAAAATCAAATCGTAACTATGCGAGTTTCGCCCTAAAAATAATGGTCCATGGACAGTCTCAGTTTTGACTTTAATTTCACTACCGAAACTATTTGACTAAAAATTTTATGGCGCAGGAATCTTGAAACAGCCTAATACACAGTTTATGATTCAATCTTTTTGGTAAACTGAGCAACTCTAAATAAATCAGATTTTATTTTGTTTGCACTATGAAATATTTTTCCATTTAAGCTTGATGATATTCTGCAATATGAATCTTTTTTGCAGAAAGTGTATCTTATGCAGGCAGGGGCTTTTCTTCTCCCAACGAGAAAAAAAGCAGTGCTCATAAAACTTTTACATTTTTGCCGGTCCCACATCACCATATAATTATTAATTCCTGGGAATATTGAGCGTCTTACCCGAAAAGGGAGGTAAACAAGCATAAGCTATAGCTATGGCTGTCACCACATTATGACGTTTTTACGGATGTGATTCATTTGTAACGTGCAATTAGCGGCAGTAATCAACGTTAGCAGCGTCTCCGTTGATAGGAGGATCCTCGCTAATTAGGGAGGAGAGGGGGGGGGGGGGGGAGAGAAGGCTAGCCTTTTTTTTCTGGATTAGGGATATCTCCAGTCCTTACTAAAAGCGTCTGCGGCGTCTCAAGCTTCGTTTTGCTCAATTCCCAAGCAAGTGAATTCGATAGCACTTGAAATGATATTAAAAAAGCCGGCTGCGAACTCGGCCTCGCGACAACGACGGGGGCAGGGGGGGGGGGGGTGGACGACGACGGAGGCGCAGCCATTGGTGGAGATGTTGAATTGGACCCCACCCGCCGCTGCGGGGCCCCGCCCCAGCCCCGGAATCAATGGAAAGGAGGTCGATTTAGAGCTGTGTGGCTTGAAACGCTCACCGGCGAATGTATTACATCACTTTCCTGCTATTGTTCCTCATCGTCGGTTGCGCCTGTAACGCTAGGTAAGTTCCGAGTTCCATTCGAGACCCTCGGTCCCTAATTAGACCACTGATGGCTCGAATTTCACCCCTTGGTCTCCGCTAAAAAAGGACAAGAGTATAGCATGTAACCCTCGAAGTTCCTTCTTCTTTCACTTCATTATCAATCCAAAAATCGTCCATATATTTGCAGGAGATCCATATATAGAAAGAATTCCCGAACACTACGCAGGTTGAGTCGTAATTACGACTGGGAGCTTGATGAACATGGAGGATTACGGCCGATCATCAACCCCGCTAAGGTATTACATGGATTTGTGAATTTGTCACATGTCGCAATTTGTTGATTCCGCTATTCACAATATCTGAATCACATGTACATCTTTTTTGATAAAGAATCTTATTCCTCCTTCCCTTTCAAACCTCCCTTCGTCTTCGGAGCCTAGAACGCGCACCGTTTCTTTATTTTTTGGGCAGTTCTTGCATTTTTCTTTAGATGATCGCTCATCTCGTGTTTGCTTTGAAATTCTCTTTAAAATGGGTATATTTGTTTTATTTTTATGGCACCCAAAATTCAAAGTGATTAGTTCAAATACAAACAAATCATACCCAAAAAAGCGACTATTTCTGCTATAAATTTTTCTTATGTCCATATAATATGAAAAATTGTGATTGTATAATCAATACTTTGAAAATTAATTAAATACTTTATAAAGGCATTAGTAGCTGATCCTTTTCAAATATTTTGTCTTATGTTTTTAGTTTTACGGCTTATTGAACTCCTTGTAAAATTTTGATCTCACTTTTCTTATTTTTTGGCTAATTGAAGTCATTCCAGTTACTTCAAATTCACATTTTTAGTTCGTTTTACTTTCTGATCTCATTCCAGAACTTTTGATTTTACATTTTAAAATCGTTTGCCTTTCTTTCTTAGAAAATTCCACCTCACTTTCTTGTTATTTTGGCTTTTGGAAACCTTCCAGAAATTTCGAATTCACATTCTTAACTTTTTCGCTTCTTGCACTCATAAAATCTTTGCACATTTCCAATTTTCGCCTTTTGCGATCCTTCCCAAAATTTTTCTCATTTTTCATTCCTTTTTGTTTTTTGAGCTATGTAATTTCATAGCAGCAAGAAAAGGCAGTGCGTTTTTGAAATCTCAAGATAGTGAAAAAATAAGTGCATTCTCTGTCGATTAAATGAGAATATTCCCATACAAAATCTCAAATTCACTTAAGATTAACAGACATACGGAGTTCGTTCAGAGGTACATAACTGTTGGATTTTTGAATTTCCATCGGACCTTTTTTAGTGTCTCTTTCCCTCTTCGGTAAAAAAGAATAATGTGAAGTTGACTACTGCATCTGATACTAGAGATGGGAAACTATATAAAATTGAATAATGAAAAGAAAGAAACAGAACTTCAATTTTTTTTTTGATTCTGTACATCACACAGGGAAACAGAAAGTCAATTTCAGGTCGAAAGAGCCACAAAACAATGTGCAAATGATTCATATATTCTCAGTACGATAATGCATAACTATAATAGGCACAAAATTCCTGGAGGGCAGGTGAGTCCCACAATTTCAATTTTGTCCCGCAATCTATGTTGAATTTTTTAGGTTCAAGTACAAGTTGAAGTTTGGGTGCAGGAGATCACAACGATTTCTGATATAACCAGCGATTTTCAGGTAAACACCGATATTTTTGTATTCAAATTTGTATTTCCATACAAATTTCGTTCACCCCATTTGGTTACCATGGCGCTCTAGAATTATGATTTCTGTTATTTGCAGCTGGATATATATATTTCGGAAATGTGGTCGGATCCGGCACTCGATTACTCGGCCTTAAATCCATGTAAATACAATTTATCGTTGAATAGCGTACTACTAGAAAAATTATGGACACCGAATTCGTGTTTTATCAACTCGAAAACGGCTGATATTCATAAAAGTCCATTTCCAAACATCTTCTTGATGATCTATGCTAATGGCTCAGGTGAGTACCCTAATATTTGATTTTTACATAATATGATTAAAATAGTTTTATGAAAGCATATAATTGAAAAGATAGCCATCAAATTGTGACCTTTTATTTTTTTATCAAAAGCTCAAAAAACGCTAAATGAAGATATCCTTAGCAGCTGGCTGAATAGAAGTTCTGATAGCTTTTGTTATAATTTGGGTTGTTGTAATCCTTTCCAGAAATTTCAATCTTGTATTTCATTTTTTTTTGCTCTTGAACTTATCGCAAAAATTTTGATTCTATATTTACAAATTTTGGCTAATCGAAATCCATCCAAAAATTCCGATTTTAAAGTTCTTTTCATTTTTCACCTTTTGACCTCTAAAATTCCCGATTCCACATTATGAGTTTTTTTTTTCAAGTTGAAAAATTTTCTAAAGATTTCGAATTTGTGGCTTTTTGAACTATGCGAGGCTGACTTAGGCTATAAATGGCTGATTCATAGAGAATGCTGCAAGCTTTGGCAAAAAAGGTTTTTCAAGCTTTGGAAATGTTAAAATTTTTCAATTTTTTGTAAAGTTTTGCTTACAAACTCTCAATAGCAAAGGAGAGCATAGAAATGTCAATAACAAGAATTCTTCAGCTTGAGACTCTCATTCGCAGTCGCTCGATTCTCTCTTTCTCAAGGAAAAAGTGGCACAATTTATTCCTTCTCACGGGATAATATTGCACAGAAAAGAAAAACCAAAGTGACATAGCCAGGATAGAGGGACCACAGACATTTTATCAATCAAAATAAAATGTCTGGCCTTTATTTACACAAAGAATGCAAGGAATCTTCCTTATTAAGTTAACACTTTGAAGAAGAGTTTTTTCAAGGGAAGCGATAGCAGACCTAGTAATAAATTAGCTTTGACCTGATTCAAACGTCACAGCTCAGATGAGGGATAAAAGTTTTTTTAGTCTCTTTTTCAGATTTTTTATGCAAAAATTCATACACTTAGGAGCGTCAGCGAACTTCTGAAGTATTTTCCCGGATTTTTTCTCATTCCTTGTACCACTTCTGAAAAAAAAAACAGTTTTCCAGTAAAACGCACTGTTAAAGCTTGTCAGTCTGACAATAAGTGAGACTTAGAATACTATCTCAAATTTCACCTAAAAAATCCCTCCATACCCCGGAAAACACGCTTTTTTTATTAGATAAAATAAGAAAAAATTTGTGCTATCAGGTCTTTTGAAAAATGATCTTGATTCTGAGGGATTGTAAGAATCTTACCATCTTTTCGTGAGGATGTATGGCATTATTTCAAATATGATTTAGTGAGAAAATGCTGAACTCTATCCAAACAGAAATTTTTCAAATGCGAAAAGTGCAGGATAGTGAGATGGTCAATTTTTTTCAAATTTGTATTTGCATTTTTTAGTCGTATAAGTGAATTATAATTATTACTGCATTTTATTACTGCCTCTGCCTTTGATTAAGATTTGTGCGTAGATATGGGAATTTCTATTATCCTTTGTGAGAAAACCTGCTAATTACTTCAGTAATTTATTTTCAGTATGGACAAACTATCGCTTAAAATTGCAGGGACCGTGCCTTATGGACCTCACTAGGTGAGAAATTTTTGAGAAAAAGTTTTTATGATAAAATTAATTATAAATTTCAGATTTCCCTTTGACAATGTCACGTGCTCGTTGACCTTCGAATCTTTCAAGTACGTGTGTTTTTCTCTAGCTTTTCGATAACAATAATCTGTTCAATCTGCTTTGTCCTTTTGGCATCGCGCGTCATCCAGACCGCGAGCCCTAGAATCCATTTATCTCCTTCTCCCCCCCCCCCCCCGAATAGTCGTAGTAGTCACGCTGTCTGATTTCGAAGATAACATTAGGCTGCTAAACTAATTGCCTGGACTCCTTGTTTCCGTTCCAGCTACAATACCGACGAAGTGCAAATGGCGTGGACTCCGATTGGTGTGAGCAAAATGAGGGAAAAAATGGAACTAGCCGATTATGAACTTGTCGATATAAAAAATGTTCGAAACGTGGAGGTGAGCTCAGAAAATCTACATTCTATAAAATGAGATTTTTTTCCAACTGAATTGAAACTAATCTGAGGTAAATTTTTGCTAATAATTCAACAGCGTCCAAGTTGATCTGAATTGAACTTCTTGTAGTGTACAGGTGTCCGTAAAGTATGTATACACTGTTTGATCGTTAATATCTCTCTTCCCAACAAGTCTTTTGCCTTGCTTTAGGCACCGTTTTGTAGAGCTGGCTTCAACTTAGATTCCTTAGATTTGCAGTGCAGAATGAATCACCCATCTCTCTTCATTACTGTAGGATTACGGTAGAAACTTCAAAGAGGGTTTTGGGCCGTGAAAAGCCATATTTTCCCGCAGAAAAAAAAGAAAACAGCCTGAAAACTTTTACACTAGGCTAATTAGAGTTTCTGATTCTAGCTGTAAAGTTCACAACTTATTATGATGTTTCATTGAAGAGTTATGCCGGGTAAGAGGTAGCGGCAATTTTTTCAATGTTCCTAAAAAGTGCGGTTACACGCTTAGAAAGCTTCGCAATCTTGTGAATACTTGAGTATTGAACTCAGCGTCCATAAAAACCCTATTACACAAGTTTTCACAATTTTTTGAAAAATTTTGAGACGGCAGCTTTTTCCGCATTGACATCAAATGTTTCAAGTTTCTACCGTAATCCTACAGTAACGAAGGGCGATCGGTGATTCGCTCCATACTGTAAATCTAAGTTGAAGCCAGCTCTAAAAACAGTGCCTAAAGCAAGGCAAAAGACTTGTTGGGAAGAAAGATATTAACGATCAAACAGTGTATACATACTTTACGGACACCCTGTATTATATGTTTAAATTTCATTGATACACTCCTAATTATCGAAAATAATTTCTAAATAAAATTGATCTTCTGCATTGGATTGAATACTTTTAGATTCTGGTATTTTGCTACCACAGAGAAAACGCAAAATGAAAGAAGTTTGATTTTTTGAACCTCGGTTTATATTAAATTTTTTTAATTTTTTAATTTTTCGATTTTTATTTAATCTCATATTTTAATTTATGCTATATTCAAAATGTGCTCTTTATCAGATTTCCTTGAAATTTTTGCAAATTCAAGATCTTGGAGCACCAAATCAGGTGAAAACTGAAAAGAAACTTCGGAAAAGTTGCCATACCGCAACCAGTGGTAGCGGTAAGGTTGCTACCAGCGGTAAGGTTGCTATAACGCTCGATTCTCGCTGCTTCCACTATTTTTCTCTCTCTAATATTTTCTCTGCCTTATTTATAGAAATTTAAACTATATTTATTCTGCATTTTTTTCAATTTCTGGCTCGGGCAGAATGTCAAAGAAGCTAGCAGTAAAAGGTTTTAAACCTCTCCCACTATATTATATTCTTTAGAACGATAATGTTACGGTGAGATTACTGTAAATTTCTATGTTACGGTGAGATTACTGTAAATTTCTATGAAATCGTTTGCTGACTTCCTCTGCTATGTACCTTTATTCGAAAACTTGCAAACTTAGTCACGTTGCATTGCTTGATCTTCAGCTTTGACAAAACAAGATTTTTTACCTGGAAAAAATATGTTATCCAAAAAATTTTAGGGCTCAATTTATTCAAAAATGTTCCTTCTAGTAATACGTATTATTTTAGCCCTATCCAGCTGGTTATTGGCACGAACTCACGATGATGTTCCATTTCAAACGTCGAGCTGGTTGGTACATTCTTCAGGCCTATTTACCCACCTATTTGACCATTTGCATCTGTGAGTTTTTTCCCTCGTTTGCCATCTTCTTTCGATTTTCTCAATTTCCTTTTCTCTGTTTATTCTTCGATTTATCTCCATTTTCGTGTGTGCATTCACGTAGTTTACTCGTTCTCTGCAGTTTGTGCTCGAGCCACCGAGGCTCCTCCATAAGTTCGTTTCCGAAATTTCTTCTCGATGATGATGTGCTCAGCGCTAAGCATGGGGCTGCTGCTGAAGCATAGGCCTTAGTGAAATTCGATACGAGCGAAAGATCCCTAGTTTCTAGCTCTTAGCGCTATGCTTTGCCTGAACAAAACCCAGCAAATCTCAGCTCTTAGGCGTGTTTAGTTTTCGCTGGAGTCAAGTTGCTTTCGTGGAAGTTTTTACCAAAATGACAAAAAAACCTTTGAAGTTTACATGATTGCGGCCTTCAAATTCTTCAGTTTTATTAGGCCTAGAGGGGGAGGGGGGCGAGGAAGACTCAATGTAAATGGTTTTTCCCGTGAACATAGTATAGCAACAAAATTGTTCTAGCAGTTGTCAACAGAAAATTTTTTTCGGAGAGAAGGAAGGGGAAAATTTCTTGCAAAAATTTTTTTTGCGGATGAAGCGACGCCGTTATTCGAACTTTCAGGAAATTCTTTAAAGATGCCTCTCAGATTCCTTGCGGGCTTATAACCACAATATTTCGAAGAAAGAAGATATGGGTAATGGCCATGCCCTTGAATATTTTTACGAAGCTAACGTATTAAATAATTAGAAATAATTCAGTATTTACTGGTGAAAAAGAACAACTCAACTGCACAGTTTTATAAGTCATATGGGTTGCTTTCAAAAAATTTCAAAGCCAATTCTCGAAAAAGGGGGTGGTTGCGCTTTTGGAAAAGCTAATTTCTTTCAAAGAATTGAGAAATGTAAATTTTTATGACTAAGAATCCGCTTGAAGAAAATTTTTTGGCTTGGCTAAAATTCAATGTTTTTCAAGCAAGCATGAAATTATAAAACATTTCTATACCACCTTTATTCAGAGGGACCCGTCATACTTCGCCGAAGCCCGAAGAAGCCCAAAGAGTCCAAAAGCGCTCAAAAGACCCCAGAAAAGCCCGAGAATGCCCGAAAAAGCCCGAAAGCGCCAGAAAGAGCCGGAACGCAGAAAGAACGTTTGGTAAAATTCGGACATTATTTTGAGTGCAGACGACAGAAAATGAACCAAAAAACTTGGTTGCGGAATCAACAGACATGCCTTGGCGCCAAAACTTGCGCGGGAAAGGGGGTGTTCCGGCTCTTTCTGGCACTTTGGGCTTTTTGGGTTTTTTTGAGCGCTTTCGGGCTTTTTGCGAAGTATGACGGGTTTCTGAGACAAAAACCTCCAATATTTCGATTTTCAAAATTTACATGTTTTATGCAAATTCAAAGTGTAAAGATTAAGGTAAGGTGAAAGTGTTTGTAAAAATTCTGAAACAATGAGGCAAATAATGATCAAGCATTGTCCATTTGCGCACTAATTTTGCTTTTAACTCTGAAAAAACTTTCTAAGAATATTTCTTCTGCATTTGCTCGACTGCCAAAACCGTCCTATCCTTTTTACTAGTAGTCTAAACGAGTTCACCAAAAAATTAGCTACGGAAATGATCTCAAAAGTTTTATGGGACCATCAGATTCTCATATCTTCTGCAATATCTCACTTTGAAAAGAGCAATATATGACGCGAGGATTTTGCAGCCATCATCAAATCACGTCATAAAGTCCTTAGGACCTTCTGTCCATAAGATTAAGATTCGTTATGATAGCGTTTTGAGCTACTAACTACGTTCATGGATCACTTTCCACAAAGTAGGGCCAAAGATTGATTTTTTGCATCGAAAGCATATGAGACGCAAGATAGATAGAGCCTGCTTATTTGGCAGTAAATGAACCCTTTGGCAAATCTAAAAAGGAACTAGATTCTAGGGTTTTTTGAATATCTGACAATTTTTCCTTTTGTGCACAAAAGTACAGGCTTTTTATAATGGAGTTATTTTTCAAATATTACCAAAGTAACTACCGTAGAGCTACTAAATGAGTACTAAAAACCCTATAAAGCAGTGTTAGCTATTTCAAGGCCAAATTCTGCAATTCCCAGAATAGTTTCAAAAAATGTACGATAGCTGTTCTATGATTTTTGAACGAATAGAAATTTTCTGAAGATTTATATTCTTCCAGAAATCAGATCTCTTGCGAATATTGAATTTTTGTGTCAACAATCAACGATCTCGTTCTGGAACAAAGAAATCGAAGTTAAATCAACATTTTTTTGGGGAGGGGGGGGGGAGGACTAAAAGACATTTGAGTTTCAAAAATAATTCCGTGGATGTCGACTGTGGATTTGTAGAAAAATGGTTACAAATAAGGTGCCCACCAACTTAAGCTTGATAGCGTCTTTTTTTGCGAATAAATGAGTTTGCCTTTTCCAAAGGGAAAGCTTTCTCAAAAGTTTTTCTGTTTTTTCAGCGGATTTTTCAAAAAATTTTTCTAGCATTCGATCATGACTTGCTGATCTACTACCTTTTGAATCAACGGGGTTGGCCTGCTGGAAGGCGTGGCTTCGTGACCTAGATAAGATTAGAGAACGCTCAGAGAGCACGTGCGAGAAAGAGACGCAGAACGCCTCGCGGGCGCGAGCGGCCTTAATTAGGTCACAAAGCCCCGCCCAGCCGCCAATCCAGTCGAATCAAAGGTTACCACAAGCATTCATTTTTCCTCTTTATAAAGTGGAATCGTGAAGTACACATTGTGCTCCACGAACTCCCATGAAGTTTTGCCATTTGTCATTCACAAGTTGTAAACAAAGCAGAAATGTTGAAATGTATGTCCTAAATAGGGCATCGTGCTTTGTCTTAGAAAGTATACATGTCCGAAATTTGTTGTTAGTGGAAGCTACTGTAAACGTCAGGGGTACGGGCCTTCTAAATTGAACCAATAAGGGGTAAATTAACAAAATTACGCAGGGTCCGCTAGTAATCTATGAATTTCTCTATTCTAGCACATAAAGAAGGCTCGAGATTAATAGGGGAGTGCTGGACCTCTAACAAGGGAAGGATAGTTGGATGCCGCGGCCATTCCTAATGATTTGTATACCAAAAAATGCGCCTTCGAATGCAGATTCTGAATCTGTGCTCGAAATCTGCGAAACGATCTTTTGAAGAAAGTTATGAACTTTTTTCCTTGAGAATTTAGCCTACTTTTGGATAGTAAAAATCACCAGATTTGATCTAGCCTACCGTTTGATGCTACTGAAGAAAATTTTAGACGTAGTAATATTTATTTAGACTATGTGGAACATACTCAGCATTTGGAAAAGAGAGAAAATTTTTTTATTGATGATTTTGACCCTCCGCAGGAACGCAATTTTTTTAATGAAAAAAAAATCATACCATTCAGATTATCGTTTCGCAGATATGAAAGACAGTCTACGAACCAGCATTCAAAAGCGCATTTTTTGGTATACAAATCATTATGAATGGCCACGGCATCCAAGTATCCTTCCCCTGCGAGTAATTGGTATAGGATTTTTGACCTACACATCCTCTTCCTTCGTTTTTCCCTTTAAATTTTGAGGCGTAGCTTTAAAAATTTGTCCTGAAACTAGCAAAAATGATAAGAAAGTCTTTGAAGATCTAATCATAAATTATTGTTGGAGTCAAGTAGCTTTAGACGCACATTACCCAAAGCATTCTTCTAAAACTTCTATATATCATAGCTGGGCATCTTTTGGAGGCAAAAGATGATCTCTTCTGAAAGTTATCTGAACGACTAACTTGTCATTCTCTAAACGATGTGAAAAACCCGTTCTTGGACAATAGAGTTAACTACTGTCTAAGCTGCTAAGAAAAAATCTCTTCGTTATTTTTAGAGACAAAAAGTTTTTCTTAATATCCTGGCGTCGGATGTAAGTAGAGAATGGAAGTTCAGTGAAATGACTAAATGCTATAAAAAATGACTCAAACTCGGTACTCAATATTTTTTTGATTATAACTTCTTCCCCTCTGATTCAACTCTCTTGGCGCTGGAAGGCGAGACTTCGTGACTTGATTAGGGCTAGATAATGATCAGAGAGCACGCGTACGAGAAAGGCGCAGACTGCGTAGCGGGCGCGAGTGGCCTTAATTGGGTCACAAAGCCCCGCCTTTCAGCCTCCAAGCTATTTGCATTAAATGTTACGCTCCATTTATCAAAAAAGAGTGAAAATAGATTTGCAATTTTTTCGAAGTCAGTGGTTGTCCCTTTCTCTTGATGCAGCAGAATGCCTTCCCTTTTATTAGATGGTAATGAAGTGTGACGAGTGATTTCTCACAGAAAAAATCTCATACCCGAGGGATTCCATAGTCGAACAAATCTCATTTTTCTACTTTCATTAATGGATGACTATTATTTGCTAATCATATGCTCCAAAGCAGAAAATGCAATAAAAATAGTAATTTACATCAAATTGATGTGGCAGTCACTGCGCGTTCCGAGAAATTTTCTCCGAGAGGTGGAAAACAGTTTTTTCGATGAAAGAGAGTGTCGTTTAGTAACACCTTGCGAGGAATTTTTCGAGTTGTCTGCAAGATTTTTACCGGACCTTAGATAATTATTGAGCTGATATAATTTTTTGGATGGTTTTGAAATCTGTTCAAGTGGCAACAACTTGCTTGGCGCACTTTTATAACTATTGTAGGCCACTTTCAATTTTGTTGGGACTCAGGGAAAGGGGGGGGGGGATCTTGGTCCACCACTGGGTGCAATCTAGTATATTATCAATCGAATGAGGAAAATCTGTCACTTGTTTCGTTACCTTTATTTTTGCATTTTCATGAAAATTTCCCAGCAACTTTGAAGTTTCCGTGTTTTTGTCTTTACCCCTTTATCCCATTTCAGTAGGCTTCACTCACAATGCCCCTGGTTTCTCTTTTGAGGGCTTTCCTACTCTTCCTCATCAGTTCAATTTTACCGAAATTTTCTTTTCACACTGTCCATTTCGTTATCGCACAATAAAAATGGGTTTTACATACCAATATATTCTTTCGAACAGAATAACACCTTTTAGCTCCTCTGTGATCTATAATAAACTGTTTTCATTACGTACTTTTCGGCCCATCTTCATCTCATTTTCCCTATCAAGCTTCTTTTCCCCATCCTCTCAAAAAGTTTTACAACTTCCAAACTCCACTCTATGCAGCTCTTGAAAAGAAAAGTCCTCCAGGGCTAAGGTCTGCGCAAATATTATGACGCTCTTCAACAGCACGCGTTGACCACGAGGCACATGCTTCGTCGATGTCGTCAGCCAAATGCATTATTCATACCCCGGCATCCTTAACCTGCGCTTTTTTTTCGTACTGCATAGAACTCACTTTCGAAAGTCTGAAAGGGAATTTAAAAACAGCCCATCGCAAAAGCTAGAGGAATAGCTCAAAAATTGTAGGGAATGAGTTTTTGGCGTAAAGTAAAGTTATTGTACGATTAAAAGGAGGTGGTGTTATTCGTTAATTGCGAGAATTACAAAAGCATGTGTCTGGAACCATTAAGGTAATGGAAAGTAGAGAGAAGACAGAAGTACGGGTATAGGCAAAATCTATTCTATCAGATATGACGCGACTAGATTTACTGATTTATTCTATTTATTTATTTTTGATTCACTTATATATAGTATCGGTATGTACAGCTCAATGAAATACGCAAATTGCCCAAATTATAGCTAGACTACAATCAATTAATTCCAAAAGGGTTTTACGGGCAAGATAAAATACAGGAAAAAGCAGTGAAGATTAGTTAGAGTAATTTTGGTTTACAATGGCTATTTTTCTTCTACTCACAAAATCGTATAGTAATAGTCATTAAAATTTCTGTACACTCTTTTTTGCAGTTTTCATAACTTAAAATGCGTATTGCACACCAGGCGCGATACTTGACGACTTATGAGATTAGAACATGCTATTTTTGATCTCCTTGTTTCTTTGTCTCTTTTGATTTCGTTAGATTAGCACGTTTAGTAGACACATTTCCACAATTTGTTCCGCGAGAAAAGGTTTCACTGAGGATTTACTTGTAAGGACTGAAGATTTACTTGTAAGGATGTCGTCGGTTGCCGCGCATAGTGTGCATACTCACAAATTGGGCTAAAAATGACGCGAGAGCAAACAACTTCCTAAATTTCCCGAGCCTTTACTAGTTGATAATAACTTTTTGAATGACGATACACGATGTAAACACCTATCGCCTCTCTATTGGCTTTTGAACCGCTCTAGAAACAGGAAATATAGGGATGATTTATACGATATGACGTAATTCAAAATTCTCAGTATTTTTCTTTAGTTTTTGGTTTTTTCTGCATCACGAGTTGTCAGTCTTCTTCCCCTTTTCATCTCATGAATAACCCATGAATTTAGAGTTTGTTCGAAAAAACTACCGCGAACCCTCCAACATAAAATTAGATTTTCCCGCGCAGCCAAAATGTTCACACATCGAATTTTTGCACTGTACATCTCGTGACATGGGTTCGCACTTAAAAAGTAAGTATTGAGCAGTATTTGGAGTTGGAGCGCTTTATCATAAATTTTGGCTTTTAGTCAAAATTATCAGAGTTGCCTGCCGCTTATTGTGGAAGTAAAATATACAGGAAAATCTAAAAAATTGACCTTTTTGTAGTCAAATGGAAAGAAATGTGAATCTGAACTGTAAAAATGCATAAAAGTTTGTATGATACTATTTTCGAACTCGTAAAAGCAACCCACTGACTAGAAGATAAAAAATCAAATAAATGGTGATGGTTTTTACTAGTCGTAGTATTAGTAATGATAACAATAATGATGATATTTATTGATAAATAACCAGACAAATTGATAAATTTCTTCATCAGACTTCTTATACTTGATTTGGAATTTTTCCCTCCAAATTCTCACTCTTATTGTCAATTACCGAATGTCGGCACAAAGATTTTATTTTACCATTTTTTTCCCGTTTCAGCCTGGATCTCATTCGCGCTTGGTTCCAAGGCTATTCCAGCCAGGACTATGCTTGGTGTGAACTCATTACTAGCTATGACTTTTCAATTCGGTAACATCATCCGAAATCTGCCTCGAGTGTCTTACGTTAAGGTTAGTTCTTGTCCTTCTTTCCTTGATTGGCCTCATTTCCCTGACTACGAGAAGATGGGGGGGGGGGGGGGGGGGGGGGAGGAGGTGATTAAGAATGTGCGAGAAGCTGGGATTCGCTTCGGGTTTTGAGGGCCTATCTTATTTTGGAGAGGGAAGAGCTACGTAAATCTTTGAAATTTCTGAATTTATTAATTTATTAACTTTATAGCTTTATAAGTAAGGGGAAGAAGGATAGAAAAAATGTTAAAGATGATCAAGGAGGAAAGATGATAAAAATTTCATTGTCGTGCACCAAGGTTCATGTAGTCTGTTCTTGCGTCACTAGCAACAAGTGCGCATAAAAAATGATCATAACTCGCAAAAACTTGTTAAAAGTGCGCTCCACGGCAATATGACGCGCAAATGATGTCGTCTACGTGGTGACGCTCTTTCATTCGCCAAAAAGGCCAGAATAATAAAGAATTGAAGCATAACGTGAAATTTTTCATTGTTAAACTATGGCGCATAGATGTAGCCTGTTCTGCGTTGCTGACAACACATAAGCTTAAAAAATAACAATAACCCGCAAAAAATTGTTGAGGTGCGCCCCAGCGCAATATTTTACGCGCAAATGTTGTCGGCACCGCAGAGACACTATTGAAAGTCAACTACTCTACTACAACCACGTATTAGTATCGTTCAATCCCGTTTCCCTCCTTGTAGTTTTGTGATTTTGGGAGGATCCTAGGGTGCAAAATTTATCAAACTGCGTTCCACTGCCAGATTCAGCGCGGAAGTGTTGTCGGCACCGCAAGCACACTATGTGCTGCAGGCCACACTCTTTACTAAAGTTAAGCACAAGCGCTATCCAACCCCTACGGATTTTTTCTTGTAAAAACTTCATAATTCAGGCAATCGACGTCTGGATGTTATCATGCATGACGTTTGTGTTCTGTTCACTTCTCGAACTTGCTTGGGTTGGGTTTTTATCGCGAGAGGAAGAATTTGACACGCCACCGCCACCGGCGCCACCGGCTCCGGTTTTGCCTGGCAAGGCTTTACCGATACCGCCATTAACCTCGAATAAGACCACGCCAGTAGCTCCACCAACTCCCAGTCATCAAATCCATAGTGCTATGAGCACCTTGCACAGGTAAGGGCCTTGGAAGTTTTTGACGACGCTGATTTATATTATTTAGTCGAAATTTGCGCTTTCTGACTCAAAAACGGCAGAAAGTATTTTTACTGTCTTTGTAGCCGCGCAGGAGTTAAAGCTTACAGTTATGACAATGAAATCTGTCTAATTTCACGACATTTCCGAGATTCGCGAGATTCCGCGGGATTCGCGCAATTTGCGGGATTCGCGTGATTTGCTAGATTTGCGGAATTCGGGCATAACTTTTGATAGAGTAGATAGAATTGGAATTTTCCAGCGGATTACGATTTAGCTGGATGAGGCGAATCTTTGGAAAACATGCAAGCATAGCTTGAAAATTTTGAGCTTCCCCCACTTTTCCCGCTCACCCACGTTTCCAGAATAAGATGACATGCTTGCCAAAGTGCCTACTCAATTCTTTACTAATCAATCATATCTCCCTCCTCCCCCCCCCCCTCATGGCAGAATTATGTACTCTAGTATGGCGTGTATGTCCCGTGCCCGCGTGATTCCCCAGGGAGCGCGAAATCTCGCCACATTGCGCCAATTCTCGCATCACATCAAGCGTCAAGGATCGTTGTGAGCGACGATAGCTGAGGGAATGTACTTCTTTTTCAGAAGAAATCCAGCCAATGAAGAAGAATCAGCATTGATCTCTTTGCGTGACAACGATTACGGTTATATTCCACCTGGATTCGGGCTGAATGGAAATATTGCCAGTGCTGTGCGATCGCTGGGAGGAAGGTGAGTGTTGGGAGAACTTTTGTGAATGCTGAAGAGCGAGAATTAGCTTTGGAGTTGTGCAAGAAGCCGACACACTGCAAAGAAAGTTTGATGCACCTTTTTGTTGCGTTTTGAGAGCTTTACAAAGTGCGTTGCATAAATTACGGATATTGCGAATTTCTTAAATTTCTTGACATTTCCAAATCTTCCTGGGACTTCACAAAATATTGTTTTCACCCAAAAAACCAACGGGTAGTGTTATAAACTACACACTATCTTCAGAGTTGAGCAAATTGCTTAAATTGACGCATAATGAGTTTTGAGTAGTTGATACATAGTTCGTCTCGAAGTATATTCCAGTTTTCGGGTATTCGAAAGATTATCATTGGAAGGCTCAATATCATTGAATTTCTTTTTAAAACATCTTCACAGTTAATGGATAACCCCAAAGTTTATCGTATTAGAATTTCTGGCGATGTTGTCGAAAATGATCAGAAAAATACTCGGCCATCAAAATTTCTTATGAATTTTCAAAACTCTTCATAGAACGTTCACATTTTATACATATTCTTATTGAATATGACATTTGTTGCATCTCACTATTTCTATCTATGTCATGAATTTTTTACAAATTTGAAGTCAAAACTCAAAGATTCAAAATGAGAATCACCATCTTTGAGACAGTGGATCAGAACGAACTTTCTTTGGCTGGAGAGAAAAGCTCCTAAAATCAAGTAAAACTAGAATCATTGGTTTTCTATTAATATTTCAACAACGTAATTTCAAGTTAGTGACTGAATATTTTTTGTAAGGTTGTAATGCGATGACGATTTTGTAACATTGTGGACATTCAAATATTAAATCATTGCATCTTGCGTAGCAAGTTCAATGATTTCAGTTATTCGTAAACGGCGTAAATCTCCACAACAAAATATAATCACTTTTCTTGGAACACGAGTAAGGCTAGTACAGCTTGTTTGCGGAAGCAGATGTTTGGGGAGATAAATCACGCATGGAAACGAAAATGGATTATCTTGTTGTTGTTAACATGAGCTTTTTCGCCGGAAAACGGTAGAATAAGATTTAGGTTCAAATACTATGAGGGAGAGTTGTCTGTCTATTCTACAATATTGGATCATTCACTTTCTATGATGTTCTTGTAAATTAAATGGTTATAAATATCGATAAAACAGTCTAAAATTGGTTGAAAACTGAAAAGTATAGTGTAAAAATAAAAAAGAAGACTGAAGAAAAAAAACGAAACTCTGCATAGAATGTACTTAGCATCGACTTTCTATCTTTTTTCAGATGCTCATGCGATCCTCATCCTTCATTTGCGACGGAGATGGACGAAATCCCACCAACACATCCATCACCATCGTTTAACACAAAGTGAGTCAGATATAGCTACTTCCTCTTCGATTCAGATCTTTCTATTATGAATTTTATTCTGTTTTTGAAAAAATAAACGAGTTGGGGGCACTTTGACCTACGCTTTATAACTGAAATTCCTCGTAAATCCCGCATTAAGTTTTTATTTTGAAGCTTTTCCTGCTCTTTATCCTTTGCCATCCCATTTGAATGCTATGCCCACATAATATCAAGAAGGTAAATTCGCTCATGATTTTTTTGCATTTCTACCCTTTGGTTGAACAGGATTGGCGGATGGAAGGCGACCGCTCGCACCCGCGACGCAGTCTGCGTCTCGCGGGCGTGCTCTCTGGTATTCACTAGCCTTGGCTAGGCTTCAAAGCCCGCCTTCCACCCGCCAGTCCCGTTTTATCAAAAGGTACGTGCTTTTGAAGCATAGAAAGGGAATCACATAAAAGAGAATAGGCTTTTTCTTCGTCGAAAAAGAGGTCTCTTTTATGAAATTTGCTGGAAAAATGATGGCTATATTGTTTCCTTTCTTTATGTCGTTATCAAAATTCAGAGCAAATATTCTTACGTTGAGGAAAAAAAACTAGAAAATATGATGTAAAATCAGATTTCTTTTTGTGTACTAAACTTCGGATTAGTTCACTCGAGAAGGGTGGGCTTGCCATCCATAGCCATTTCTTGCAAACTAGCTCTCTATTCGTAAGCCTAGTTTTGAATACCCAGCTAAATCCTGCCATTCAGTTTACTGGACGTTCTATGCCGAAAAAAAAAACTGGGTGGACGAGAAAGACTTGGAGTTTAGCAGAAGGGAGAGGAGGGAGGGGGGGGAGGAGAGAATAGGGATGCGTAAATCTTTGGAGATCAAATTCTTACACGAAAAAAGACAGCTCCGGACCTATGTTTTTCCTTTTACTAATTACAAATTGTACATTTCGTGACCAGTCACTTTGTGCAATTACACTATTCTTAGAAACGGGCCACCTTGCTTGACCTGTAACAAGTCGCCCACGCCGCAAATATTTCCTGCACTTCCAACTGCGTAGCCAAAAGCCCAGCGCGTGCCGTGCGCGGTTCCTGTATCGAAGTTGCCTGCAGGCACTACGATCGTGTAAATAGATTTATTCTCCCTTTTTTATAATATAAAGCACAGAGCAGCACAATTTTTTTTTGAATGTTTCCCTGAGAATCGAAGCTTTTCACCATAGCGAGTATATGCGTGACATTTGTCCTCAGTCACGATGGTAGTTCAAAGCAACCTTGCTCCATTTTGGAATTCAAAAGTGGTGCATTTACACAAAATCGCTGGGAACAAAGGCGACTATAAAGGGGGTTAGATGCACGCAGAGACTATACGCGCTGCGTGACTGAGACGTGAGTATTTGGAAGAAGCAGCAGACCCTCCTCGAAAAGTTGAATGTGCATCTAATGCGAGAGGCGCAGACGGCGTTCGTAGCCGCGTCCGTCTCTGCGTTTAATGACTCGCTTATATTGTCAGCTTTACCTAAAGGGCATGAAAGATCCTTATTTATAAGTTAATCAGGTCGATCCAAAAATTTTCTTCTTTTCAGAAGGCATGAACGAGAACGACTCGCAAAGCGGATCGACACGCTTTCTGCAATCTTTTTTCCTTCGCTTTTTTCACTGTTCAACATTGCCTACTGGTCTCATTATCTGCGCTCGGATTGACGGAAGTGTCTTTTTCGCCGCTGGAGCCCCGACCACCAACTCCCTCTCGTTTTACGGGCCACTAACGAACCGCTATCGCTCTGCTCTCTCCTTCTCTCACTCTTCTCTCTCTCTTTCTTTCTTTCTCTCTCTCCCTCTCTCGCTCTCTCGTAAATTATCGCCATCCCAGTGAACTGCCATTAATCTTGTGATATATCCTCAAATGACACTTAAACGCCTAGAGTTGACAATGAAGAGTATTTCACCGATTGTTCTTTCGGTAATTATATTGCTACATGTACATTTCACCATATAAGAGATGATCCCTATTGGAAATTGTTACCTCATACTGTGTTTGTCTGCTCAAATCTCACTTAATTTGTTGATACCTAACGAAGGCAGAGGAACAACGATTATTTGCAATTAATATTGGATGTATATTAAATATTTATGCTATTGTTTGTCTTTTATTTGTTGTTGATAGATGAAGATTTGAAGAATTTTCTTGCTTCGAAGAAAAAAGGCCAAGAAATCTTAGACAAGCTGAAATGCCACACTGAAATCGCAATCTCGCGAAGGCTGCAGCCAGAGTAGCGTGTGTCAGTGCCGTGCCAGCGCCGTGCCGTCATCATTATTGATCGATACTTGGCACGCGCGAGCGGCTGGCACTGCGCTGACATAATTGCGGCATAAGCTGGATTCCGCTTAACGTAAAACCTTGGCGAACCTGAACTGCTCGAGGCACATCGTTCATTGGCAACGTTCCAAGAGGAATGAGTCTGTCTGGAGCGTGCTGGCATTGTGCCAACAAATCGTCATTCACAAAGCGGCTCACTTCTTCGGTATGTTCGGGCTTTGCCTAAACATTTCTTATGCAGCTTCTGTTTTTGTTTCTTCGAGGAAAATGAGGCGAAAAAAATTCGTTGCTAAAATATTGACAACAGCCACGCGGCCATCGTCATAGTAATGAATAATGGAGAAAAAGGAATACTGTGAATAACTGGCACGGTTCCAAAAAATCACATGCTTTGCCTTCTATCAGGTTAGTGCAAAAATAATGAGCGTGAGCGTTTTTCTAGACCTTGTTTCAAGACAACTTTTTTCCAATGAACTTTCTTTTTTGAAATAGACCTGGCGAACTATTGAGAAGCTCGCTTCATGTTGTAAGTAATAAAGGTCTTACCCAGTAGCTGAACATCACTGGTACGGTGCTTATGCACTGAACGTTCACTTTGGCTTTGTCCATATCGCGCAAACGTGTCTGCACATCAAAACAGTTTGGCTCAACGGTCCTGAAAAGCAAAGTTCGGAGCAGTTTCACACAATTTAATGAGTGCGGTAAGGGCTGCGACGGTTGCGATTTCTTTAGTTCACAAAGAATAGAACGAAAAGTTAATATCCGGAGAGCCCTGTAACTGCAAAACAGAACCGCAACAATACTGGTTTAACCATTTTTGTATAAATTATATCATTGTACCCTGCTAATTATTATTCAGTGCAGCCAAAAGAATCTGTTTCAGAGACAATTCACAAACCAAAAACTCGCACACATTTTTAACCTACCTAAATAATTTCCGATCTTTCATCATGTTTGTCGTACCATCCTCTCGATGATCAAGAGTTATGAAGCCAGGATAGCCAAATTTCTAAAAATTGATAGTTTTATTGAACAATATTTCCATAAAAAAGGATAGAATAAGTACATCAATTTATATGTTGAATGCAAAGATTTCCTAACAATTATAAGAATTTTTACCAAATAAGTACTGTAACTTTGCAAATGTATGCATCCCATTCAAGCAACTGAACGAATTCCGTAAAATGGTACATGAAAGGCGTTGTCAGTATTAAAAACACTAACGCCCTTCATTACTGCATGTTTGAAGTCGCGATCTTCAGCGGAATGTCTTCATACAAGATTTCAAAAATTCTCAACAAAAAACAGCAGCAGGTTTTTTTGAGTTTCTGGGAGGTTGTCATTGGCACAAACAGCTCTTCAGGATCACAACGAGTTTTCGAAGTAATGTATTTCACGACCAGTCTAAAGCTTCCAAGGAAGAAAAAGGTCCAAAATGTTTTATCACACTTCCTTGCTTTTAAGTACTTTATGCGAAAATTACCCTGCACTGAAAATACCCTCATCACATAAGGTCTTCCTTGCCTTTCGAATAAACCCAAAAAGTCTCGAATTTCATCCGAATTTCATCCGACTATCAAATCGAATTGGAGGCAATGCCCATAAGAAGGTAAATACCTGCTGAAAATCGGGTATATCTCTTGGCAGCACATGCGCGTGCACATCAATCTTGCGTCGATTACTCGCTGAAAAGAGAACTTTAGATGGGGTTTTTCCTTCAGGGCAGTGGATGACGTGCACCACGTCATCTCAAAATCGCTGCTTCGTCAGCTCGTTTCCGCAAAAGGAGGAATATTTGATTGAATTTCGCTCGATTTCCACAAACAAATTCGTCGCCGCCCGGCTGGCGCGTGCTCCGAGTTGCGCAATTCAATTTCGCGCCTTTTCGAACGTTGTTTTGTTCTAAAGAGGGACGTAATAAGCGGAACACGCGGAAAGCTAGCCCGAAGCAGGCGAAATTCCGAGCAAGGTTTTTTGGAAGAATTTTCTCAAGAATTTAGTACGTGGCAGTACCACCACAAGTAAAAGCTGACGGCAAAAACTTGGTGCTGACTAACAAGCAAAGCATTGCCATATTTTTCAAAGTAACAAAGGGCAAATTCGCAGAACTTTATCTTTGGTTTTTTAGAGCTGGAAATTTCTCTAGAGACCCAAATCGATTAGGTTAGTCAGATTTGCAAAGGGATATAGGATAATAGTTTGAAGAATTCGAGAAGTCTTATTCACACTTTTTTTTCAAGCATTATATATGACAGATGTTTTATTATGCAAAATAAAGTCAAGTAACAAATTCGAAATCTCGATCAAAAAACTGGAATCATAGCCGTTTGCAGGCGCACCCGATTAGGCTAGTTACCTCCTTCGGGAAAAGTACTTCCTACTCACACTTCAAGTACAATCAACATCTGTTGGTCGCTTTAGCATCCTTAATGATCAGATTTTGAAAAAAAGAAGTTCGACAATTTTGGTTTATTACGCTGCAGCTTTTCGTTATAATATGCCAATCTGTTTTTTTACTTGTAGAATCAGAGATAATTTTCTTCTAATAATAAGCTATATTGTATCATCAAAGACCATCTTCAATCACCGCAATTCCACAAAGTTTAACTCGCGAAGTGGATCTTACATTAGCATATTAGATACTTCTTTGGAGAAAATTCGGCCAAATTCGAGAAAATTTTAAGATATGCGAGCAGTCAATCCGTTTCTTTAGCGTAGTAAACAGGGAAGGATACTTGGTCTCGGCCTTTCATAATGGTTTGTATATCAAAAAATGCGCCTTTTAATGTTGGTTCGAATACTTTTTTCCTTATCTGCAAAACGAGAACTTCGATGCAATTGTAATTATTTCTCAAGAATGAATTGCCCTACGGCGGAGGGTGAAAATCATTGATAAAAAAATTTTCTTTTCTCTTCAAATGCTGAATGTGATTTAGATAAGTATAACAACATGCACCTTTCAAGTTTCTCCTCGATAGCTTCAAACGGTAAAATAGACCAAAGGGTGATTTTAACTAACTAAAAGTACGCAAATTCTTTACGAAAAAAAATTCATAACTGCCTTCATAAATCGTATCGCAGATTTCGAGCGCAGATTTAGAATCAGCGTTTCAAAATGCACCTTACGGTATCATTGCATACCAAATGGCCGGGATCATCAAGTATCCCTTCTCTGTACGATATGCAAAACAGAACACCTAGACAAGATTCGAACCTTGCTCTATTGATTACGAGACTCATCTATCCTCTGAACTAAGTATGACATGTCTGACAATGTCACTCTAGTTGTTGGCCAGGCAACATCGTCAGAACAACACTTCCAGAAACTTGCGCAAGTATTGGTGGTCAAAGTACTGCGGAAGTGCTGGAATTTTTTTGGAAATTCTCGCAACGCTTTGTAGCAAGTCTGGCGGAGGCTCCCGTTTTCAACCAGTCTAACTGAACAAGTGGAAGAAACCCATTTTCGATTTTTCCATGTTTTGATAATAAACAAAATCCTGCGGAACCTCCGGTAAATTTCCTGGGAAGTACTATCGCTTATGCGACCCAAATACAAAATTATTTCATGCGGGGTTGAATACCGCTAAAGTCATATATGGTGCCAAGCATTATTAGGAATAAAAGCAAAAACGAAAAAAATATATAAAGCATACTTGCAGTGAATTGACAGATCGGCATTGTTGTTGGCAAAGAAAAAAGCGCGCACTATGCGATCCAGCCGTCGATGTTATTTGGTCAATCAATCATGAACTGTCCATATCCTATCAGTGCAAAACGTTCGTCAGAGTTATAAAATCTACTTGCCGTACCATGTGTACATGTATGTACTATCTGCATCAATAAACATGCCAGAAACTTGATTTCGGTAATAACTTTTACAAAGCAATAACAAGAATGTTGGAAATGCGGAAGATGTTAAGGAGCCTTGGATGTTTACGTAATTATATTTGTACAGATCACCTGCAATTTTTGCAAATTTTCATATAAACGTTCATGGATTTATTACTGGCACTACTGTAATATTACACATCTGTGATCGCAGTGCTTGTATGGTTACGACAACGGAATGTGTGCAATTTTGCGAGGTTTGTCCGACGCTTTGTGGATTTCTTTAGCAGCGTCCAAGATTGGTACAGATTATTCCACAATATACAGACTGACGTTTCGGCAAACTCGCCTTCTTTAGAGTCTGAAAAGTTGAAAACATATTAGTGAACTATCCGATCAAACACCTTGTCGACTACAGAAAAAGGCCAATCCTTTGAAAAGCAACAGTATCAATCAAAACGCGAGATTAAGCCAAAGCTCACCTTAACAAGTGGGGATAAGAGTTCCAATTTCACAACGCATGTACAGTGACCGCCAAAAAATTGCGGACAAGATACCTTCCTTCTTTCATCGCTCATTTTTAGATGGAAAACAAAGATGAGAAAATGGTTGCATTGCATGGGTTGATAGAGCTCTTCAAGAGCTACAACCTATAAACTGTGCTTTCTCTCTCAAAAACGTGTATCCAAAAAATTGTAAAAATCTTTTTCTAAAAAAGGTCCGAAAATGTCCGCGTCACAATGTCGCGGACAATTATTCTTCGAACGCGAAAATTTTCTTTTAGGTCTTGTTTTTTTGCAGCAAAAACAAAAGTCTTCCGGACAGTTGAGCACACTATATTGTAGAACTCATGAAGGACAATAATTCGGTAGTGGTTACTTCCAAAAAAACCCAAGCTTGAATTCTATTTTGCTTTTTTTCAAAAAATAACTTCTAATTCCCTGCTTCAAGCCAAATTTCTTCACATGGAAACCCATTCAAGATATTCCAACAAAGCTATTCAGATAAAATAAATGCTATTCCAACGAAGCTATTCAGATAAAATAAATGTTTTTTGCCATTTTCTATGCATCGAACGTGTACTGGTGAGTTTCTTTGCTGAAAATGGCTTTTGACAGTGCGTGCATATGACCCCACCTGCACCTCACCACTGACTTGCACCGCTTTGCAGGGTTGTAGCTCGACCAGCAGTCAATCTATGAGCTTGCAGGTAGGTCCACTCGAAAGAGCGTGACTTCCCCAAAACGAAGGTATGCAAAAGAGTTGGGTATGAGAAACAGCGGAGAATTGGCGGATGAGGTGAAAAAGCGCAGCGTTAGAGGTGATTGGAGCGGAGGTTGAAATCTACTACTCTTTTGAGAACGGTGATATCATGCTTGTCATTGTATTATAGATGGAGCTCCAATAGGCATCTTTCGACTTAAGCAGATGTCGCTATCAAGATAGTTTAGCTTCTACCATAAACGTTTGACTTTTCTTGACCTTTTTTCGTAGTTTATATTGACAGGAATTTGTGGGGAACTTTTGAAGGAGGAACGAAAAAGGCTGATAAGCTCTGAATCGATATACTTTACCAAATTCCAAATACAGTAATTCTGCGAAGCTTAGGTAATAACTAACTTGTGCAGGGTGTTCAAGGACCACGGTGTAGTTGGGGAGACTACTATGTACCTAACGCCACAAAAATCTGACTAGTGTCCATTTTGTCGACCCACTGTCTTTAAACGAGAATAATTCGATTTTTGCTGCATGTTTGGCTAAACGTAGAAACCGCTGGATGAACAAAGAAATAATTTCTCGCTTTAGAATACTGAAAAATTTTGAAAGTAATCAATTTTTTTCCAGCTTCTAAGGTATGTAAAAGTGTGGTATTTGGTTCTACTTTGAAGGTGGGGACGACTTTCCTTTTATCACCACTAGAAATCCTAAGTCTGCGCTTTCTTCGTATAATAAATGTTATCCATTAGCTTGCAAACAAAGCTTTTTTTTTGTTTCTTTGAATTACAGCAGGCAATTGTGCAATGGCTTGAATAATTTTTTAGTCCAAAAATTTTTTAGTCTTATTTTGATGTGGATTTTCACAACTCTTTGACTTTTACTGCGTTCGTTTTCCTTTTGGACGTCTATTGCGTTTTTGAAGATAAAAATAATAAATGCTGGAGGTGTATTTTTTGACGAAAAAAATTTTGAAAGCGAATCTCTTTTTTTGGCGGTACAGTTTTTCAAAATGAACTTATCTACGAAAACAAAAGTACATATGAGAAATTGGAAAGAAAGGGTTTTTGAATAATGCACAAAGTTTCAAATATATTTTCTTTTGAGGCGTGGAAAGCTATGATTGATTGATTGTGATTGTGGTTGATTGTGCTCCAACCAATAAAAAACCCATAAGAAATCTGATTTTTACTAAATTGATGGTTTTTAAGTTGCATGATCACAATGGCACAAAAAGGGCGTCAAGATTTGAATTTAAGGACCACGACATTGTAAACACCCACACCCTGTATTTACGATGTATTTTATGTATACCTACTCATTTTGGGAGTACTACAGAGAAAATAACTGTGGTCTTCCAATACTAGCCCCCGGATCCGCGTATGCTACTTATTGACACAAGACTACGGCTAGTAGCTGTGAGTGAAACAGACATAAGTCAGTTTCACGTATACCGCAATCGTCTGCATAAGGGTGCCTTCATACCGCACCGCCAGCCGCCGTTTGCGACCACTAGCAGCTTTGGCGCTATCCTACATTAATTGACCAAAAAATAAAATTTGTGTATTTTGCTAAAACTTCGCATGGGGGAGGGTGTTTCGAACGTTGAACATGAGCATTATATTGATTGGATTAGGGGGACGGTAAAATGGGACAACTAGACAATAACTGTAGATTCCTTAAGAAAGAAAAATGGATTTTTCGATTTTGGTAGATGTTAGAATATATCTTTCTTTTTCAGACGACCTATATAAGGTCATTTACGTAAATGATAATTTTTATACTTGCTGAAATGCAAGGTTAATAACTTCGGCAGATTATAAACTTCCAGCAGTATCTGCGCAGTGAAAATGTGAGACCATCCGAAGCAGGGCTCCGATGATGGCTTCCCGAAAATGCAAAAAACGAAGCCCTCTTTGAATTCACAATGAAAGTACGACATCCGCCATGAGAGAAAACACATGAAAAGGAACGAAACACTTGAAAAGGAACATAATTTTTTCATAATTCATGCTTAGTCCTAACTCCCCATGGCCCATCTACACACCTATTTTGGTTTCATTTCATCTTCATTTCGCTGTAAGCAAGCCCTTTGTTTGTTTGGGAGAGCATGCCGCCGGCATGCGAACAGCGTGCCGGCGGCAGATCTAAAGACAGCGGTATACTTTTCCGCAAAAACGATATCCCCTTTGCTTTTTCCACGAAGAACGATATCCAGCTTGCATAACGATATCTACCTGTACCGTGCCCTGATCCAAAGTACCATTGCCGCAATGGATAATGGGACAATTAGCAACCGATGGCTTGCTGGCCTCAACGCTCAAAGTTAGAAGATATTGTCATTAACACTTTTAGAACGAAGGTTATGTGTTATTTACCGCCTTGCAAGTAAATGCAAATTTTTTGACTATTATCTGGTAGAGCTCTTTACGTTCTACCCATCCATATGCAGCTTACCTCGATTTTCGTCTATCTTCGAAAAATATAGATTGAAGCATGATTTTTTGGTTATATTGCCCCAAAAATAGCCATTTTTCAGGTTGTTTGCTTTTTAGCTAGCTTTTGGCTAATAAAAGAAGTTCCATATATTTGATAAACTATTCGAAAGAGCATGAAGAGCTTTTTTGAATGGTATTTCACTTGCTTATGACTTTACGAAATAGCAGCGCAAAAAACCCTGTTCAATTTCTCCACGACGCCACGCTTAAGATTGAGGGAGAGGAGCGTTAACGCGTGAGCAAAATAATGAAGGCCGCTTATGTAAGCGAGGTTTGAGCTGCAGTCTGTTTGCTGTTGATCGAAACACAAAATCTCGAAATGTAACGAAAATCAAGCTGTAAACTCCCTCGAAAAATTTATTGAAAATTACACGAGTCTGTTAGCGGAAGATCAAATGTTAGTGTGCAATAAGGTCATGAAAGCGGTTACTAGCGGTATAGGAGGATTGTTCTTCCCCAACGCCCTTGGAGGTAACGGAAAACCTTCCTCGTAAACTCGCTTTTACAGAGATCGGACGACAAGGGGAAGGGGGAAGTAGCTATCGCATTTCCCTCTTCGGTGATTTCTTCTACACTACTGCATGGAGGTCGTCCTGCGCATTCGGCTCAAAGTTCCCCTTAGGCCTTGGGCAGAGTTCACGCGATTTGATCGTCGCGACTGATCGCGACAAGACAATTGTAACAGTATTATTGCATGCCGATCTTCTTACATTTCGTTTGTGATAGTTTTCCAACACAACTAATCGTGACTAACTATCACAAATGGAATACAAAAAGATCGGCATGCAATGAACTCGTAAGATTTGTCTTGTAGCGATTGAATCGCGACGATCAAATCACGTGAACTGTGCCCGAGGCCTTAGATCTTGTCTCTCAGAAGTCTACGTGTTTAACTTTAGTAGAAGCACTGGAAATGCACAAGTACTGCGAGCATGCAAGCCGATGGTTTGGAGCGAGTGTACGATGACGCATAAAAAGCATCTTGAGGATTCGGACCGCGCTTAGCAAGGTTTAAAGGCACCGTCCACCCAAAATGGAGGTTGGCGAGATTGTGATGGCATACTAGTGTGGGCCCCCATACTAGACAAACCCCCAAGTTTCGCCGCAAAAGACTGCTTCTGAGGCGAGAAATCCGCTCCGGA